ACCAGCGTCGTATTCTTGCCACAGCATGGCCACCGGCCATGGCGGAAGCCTCTGAGGATGTCTCTCTTTTAGGTTCTGTTGAAAGCTATGGGCCTTCCCCCCACAAAAATGAACTCTACATATTTACTCACAGCTTCGCATACATTTTAGTTGGTTCACAGGCTTTTGTTGAAGCCATCTGTAAGCCCCTCAATTAAGAACCCCTAAACTAAAAGAATGAAAGTAGCTATTGGCTTGGCCTGACTAGCTGCCCAGGACACTTTTGTATTGATTTTCCCTATTAAATTAGAAACTCTTTTGTTCATGGAATCACTGAATATTAAAACTCAATAAAAATTATGGATTATTGATAACATGGAATATTGATAATCCATGGATTAGTTATCCAACTCATCTAAGCATGGAATGATATAACTTATATTTTAGAATCAGGAAAATCTTAGAATGTCAGAGCTGGAAGTGATCAAGTCCACACATAATTTTATTCCACAAAACTCTGATGGGTAGGAAGAATAACACACAGAGGCTAAGAGAGGGGACAAGACTTGCTGGAGGCCACCCATAATAGCATGGAGTCAAAATCCAAATCCTAGTTGCTAGTTTCAAGGCCAGATTGTCAAGTTAAAGATTCAACCACCATGTAGTCTGCATGGGGCTGAGAAAAGTCAAGACAAGAATATTTGTTAAGTACCTACCAGATGCCAGGCAGTACCAGGGGAATGCAGATATAGTGCCATATTTCACCCTCCCAATAACCATGCAAAGTGAGTACTATTTTTATTTTACAAATGGGGAAAGAAATTCAGAGTGGTGAGATAACCAGTCCAAGGTCACACAGCCAAGTAAGCATCAACAACCATGTCCATTGCTTTATTTCCCAAATATAGAGGAGAAGGGAAGTCAGAGAGAGCAAAATCCTGGTCATGTTTGGCTGATGCTTTTCCAAGGAGAAGAACTGAACCAATGGATACATACGCTCTGGTCTGTGGAGCGGTGGACACTATTCTGGACGTAGGTGAAATATCCCTTGGGATTCTCTGCATCCCCAGCCCTTCCTGATGTTATACTCATCCAGTATCCTCTAGCTAACTAGTCTGGCCTCCATGATACTAGGAAGGGGGCACCCTGGATGACAGCAACAAGAAACTCGATCAATGGAACAGTACATCTCCCACTTTGTGAACCAGTCATTGTTCTGTGGTCAAAGCAAGACCCTTAACTGTGATGACCCCACCAATGCTCTTTGCCCAACAAACCTAACAACAGCCACTGATCTCTTGCTGTAACAGCCCTATCTATCTTCTTTCACACAGACAGTGGTCCTCATTCACATTCACGTAAACCTTTTCAACGTCACTTAATATTTAGTTCACAGTGCACACTCACACAAGCTATTTCCTTTAACCTCATTGCAACTCGGTGAGGTTAAGTATTATTACATCCTCCTGCTACAGATTAGGAAACTAATCTGAGGCCCAGTGAGGTTATACAACTTGCCCAAGGTGACACTCTAGTAAGTGGGTGAGCCTAGGATTCAAACCCAGATATGTCTGAATCAAAAGTCTGTTCTGTTTGCATAATACCATATCTATATTTTAATGAATATCTCTATTTAATTCCCACAGCAGGGGTTAGACAAGTGTGAAGGTCTTTGGTCCTTCATAACAGTGAGGAAGCTCACCTCAGAGAGGTTACAGGACTTGCAGGAGGCTGCTCTCTGGGATGATGTTGGTGCTGTCATCAGAATCCAGGTCTCCTGATTCCTAGTCTAGAGGACATTTTCTCCCAGACCATATTGCCTTTCCCATCAGACCATGTAATTTCTTTTTCTGGTTGGGACATGGAGCCAGCAGCCAACAAAGATCACAACCTGTCTCCCTGAAGTCTCCCTCTGTTATGAAATGAGAGTTGGTTTTTTTTTTTTAAGTATTTCAAACAGAACCCAGGTTAAATCACCCTTGCATGCATTGAATCGGCCTAAGCTTCCCTGGTGCAGTTTGTCTCCTCTTCTCATCCTCTGGAGGACAGAACAAGGCAGGGTAGGCCCATCAGCATCATGGCCGGCTCAACTTGTACATAGCCTCTCTATTCACCCTAACCCCTTCCAATCACAAGCTCCCATTCCCTGCCGCCACTCCCAAATAGTCAATTACCAAGTCTTCTCAGTTCCACATTATAAATATTCCACAGCCACCACTCTGGTCTTGGCCTGAATTATTTCTCACCTGTATTTTTATAACAGCATCCTAATGCATGTCCCTGCCTACAACACTGGCCCTCTCGAATCTGTCCTTTCCACTGCCATCAGAGTGGCCCTTCATCCCCATTAAAAACCCTTCTATTGCTCTCCATTGTCTACATTCAAGATCAAACTCCTTACAGCTTTCCACTTCAAATGTATCATTGTGTCTGAAGTCCTTCAGCCACAAGGGACCACTTACAGCTCCTGCCCATACCTTCTGTACGCCCCTCTCTGTCTACCACATCCTCGCTTCAACAACACCCTCACCCAGTTTGACTAGTTCATATTAAAAACTCACTTCAGGCTGGGTGCAGTGGCTTACACCTGTAATCTTAGCACTTTGGGAGGCCGAGGCAGGTGGATCACGAGGTCAGGAGTTCGAGACCAGTCTGACCAACATGGTGAAACCGCATCTCTACTAAAAATACAAAAATTAGCCGGGCATGGTGGCACACACCTGTAATCCCAGCTACTCAGAAGGCTGAGGCAGGGGAATTGCTTGAACCCAGGAGGCGGAGGTTGCAGTGAGCCGAGATTGTGCCACTGTACTCTAGCCTGGGTGACAGAGCAAGACTCCATCTCAAAAACAAACAAACAAAAAACCTCAGTTCAGAGGTCTCTTTTCCTGGGAAATCTTCCCTGACTCCCAGGACTGCGTGTGAGTTCCCTCTTTCCCCCATGTAAAGACATTCTTGTCTTTAGTATGTTCTCTGTTAACATTCCCTGTGCCTAGAACTTTACCTGACCTATGACAGGCACTCAATATATACTTGTCAAATGAAAATGTCCCAGAGCCTTCTGGAATTCCTCCACCACAGAATTTATCATGTACATTGTCTCCTCAAGTACACTGAAAGTTCTGAGAGTCAGAAACCATGCCTTTTAATTCAGTATTTTACCCTAGGTGCCTTTTATGATTCCTAGTGTATACTAATGGTGTGTTTACTTTTGATAAATGAGGGTTGGCTGTTGAGGGGTGGAAACCTTGGGCCTGAACCAAGGGTGGGCTTTCTACTAAGAAACACATTTTCTTCTAATACAAAAGCATGTCAGAAGGGCTAAGAAAAGGCAGGAGAACCTGTCATATTGGACAGCAAAAAACAACAACAAACTAGGTGCAGGCCTCCTCTGGAGGGACCCTCATCTCCCTATGAACAAGAATTGCAGAATCCCCTTTGGTGCACAAGCTGAAACTCTTATTCCAGGCAGTTCTCTGTCCCTTTGCCATAATATTACGGGAGAGCAAAGCAAGCACAATGTGGAATGAAGCATATGCATGTATTATAGGAGTTAGCAGATTCTGGAGAAGCCATAGGCTGTATATATCATCTAATGTGTGTATGGGGCATGGAGAGGGGCAGTGTGGCACATAACAGGTGGCCAGGACTTTGGAACCCACAGACCCTCTTCCTCAGAGCACAGCCTACTCCCTTGGCCTTGCTGAGTCAGGTGGGTATTAAAGCAGACTGCAAGATGACTCATCAAGACTGCCTTGATGACTGTACGTAGGGAACTCTCAGTTCCAATCATAATCTCTCTGTGTCCAACAGGAGCTGGGACACTGCTCTAACACCTGGCCTACCCCCTGCCAGCCACTCCTTCTAGGGCCATTGCCCAGCTTCCAATGTTTCTGGCAAGGTACCTGGACACCATACCCCCCACTCTCCCAAACACACACATACAAACAGAGCCACTAACTTGCAATTGGCTGGTGGGACGAGCCCTAAGTCATGCCACTTTCAGAAAAGATGTTTTCCTGCACAGAGGAATTCCATAAACACTCACCAAGGTTGAAAAAATGCTAAAAAGAGCACTTCTACTTCCAGGGAGGGGGAATTTGCAGAAATACAGAGTTCATTTCATCTAAAGTTCCTTCCTTCTCCCTCCACTTCTTTGAGAAAACTAAGTGTTAGGAAAGGAGACATAGATCAACCCAAAAACAAAGGATAAAGGAAAGCAGAATCTGCTATGATCTGTTACAGCTGATGCAGGGACCTTAGTATTAAAATCAACACTCAGGCAACTAGAGTTACTATATAATCCCTAAAAAAATTAGGCAAGCTAGAAAATAACTTCTAATTTCATCATGGAAGGCTTGGGGGTTTTCAGAGAAATTTTATGAAGAAACTAAGAGGAAAAGGAATTTGTTAAAGGAAATGCAAAGGCAAAGAGAAAGATGCACAGAGGACGAGACGGGAAAGACAAGGAAGACAGAGGAGAGGCAAAGAGGAGAGAAAGAGAGGAAAGGAGGATGGGATGAGAGAGAGGACAGAAAGGAGGAAAAAGAAGTAAGGAGAGAGAAGCACAGAACAGGTGAGGAGGGAGGAGGAGGGTAGAGAAGAAGAGGGAACAAGGGGGAGAAAAATAAGTAGAAGGGGAAATAGTGAGTAGAGGGAAAAGAAAGTGGCAGAGGACAGGTTAGACAAAAGATGAAAAGAGAAAATATGGTTTTGTATGTTCAGGGTTAGAAGGAGTCAAGATCATCAAGCTCTTCCTCAGCAACCCTGGGGGTGTCATCCAGCCTGTGGACTTGCATAGCTTAGATGGCAGAAGACTAGCTGCATCATGAGAGAAGAGAGGGGAGAGAGATGGAGGCAGAGTAAGATATGGGCAGGCCATGGGTCCAGGTGGCCTGGGAAAGATTTGGAGCATGGCAATTGGGGTGGGAGTGTCATACTAAAGGCTGAGGCAAACTGGACAATCCAAAGATCCCACCAGCAGAACTAACAACTCCATCCTCACCTGAGAGTCTCAGCCCTTACCTGAGCTGGGGGCCTAATTCCTGACCTGTCAGACTTGGATACCCTGGGCTGGATGAGGGCTGGCCCAAGGCTGGGTGGGGACGGGCCAAGGATACAGGCTTCTTCAGTGTAGGGCACAGCAGCCGTGGTGCCACTGATGATGTAGCTGTAGAAGGAGACCTCTAGGGTGTAGCAATAGGAAGTGTGGTCCAGGAGTCCACCGAGGAAGCGACGGCCAGTTCCTGCTTTCACAGCATCCCGGTTAAAGGATGTGCTGGACTGTGAAAGACAGAGTAGGGAGGAAAGAATCACGGCACCTGCTGGCAATTGGATTGTGAGCAAATTTTACAACACCTCTGGGTCTCAGTTTCACCATCTGAAGAGTGAGATATTAACCCCTCATCACATGATTATTATAAGGACTGATTAAATAAACATAATTAATGACAGCAGCAAGCAGAGTTCTTGAGGTGCAGTAACTGCCACTCAACGAATATTTGCGGAAAAATGA